CCTCTGGAAGTCCTCAACCCTTTGAAGACTCTTTCTTAATATCGACTGAAGAACATGCATGTATTTCAACTGCATATACCTTCGATACTTATTTTATTTGAAAATAACATAGAATCTTGATAGATTTTTAAAGAAGAGCTTTTGAGTTTACAATTTGCGCTACAATCGTTTTGGAGGGACGACAGCTACTGATGAAGAACCGAACTTGGAAATTTTGAAAAACCGGAAGAAGAATTACTGATTTACTGTTGGAAAGGCAAGGCGTTTGTATGTACCTCTCCGCGATTTGAGCACCTGTCGGTCAAAATGATTAAGCTTTCGTCTCCATACACTTAATTCTGTGGTTCCCACCACAGCTTTGTAATCCGACTTACCCCCGATTAGCCAGGATTACAAATCGTTATGCGAAAGTACAAATGTTTGTTATGAAACAAGTGAGGCGTAGTACAATATTAGTCACCGTTTTAAGTCCCTGTTCCAGTGACTGTAACAACAGTCGAAACGAAACGATAAAAGTATGGAAAGTAAATTCATTGTAAGATAACAGTTCTCTTCTGCTAACAACAGGTATTACAAATGTATCTAACCTTCCTAACACTGAGGTCCTGAGATTTAAGAATCAATTTCAAATGTCATGATTTATCTGTTGTTGTGAATTCTCCAGAATAAGTGACGATACGAAACAGTTAGTCCTATATACCTTCGTACCTATGTAACAGATAGGGACTAACCATTTTTTAAATCCCATTATCACCTGTGAAAAGTGGCGAGCCTTTGGAGTACCACTTTTGTCTTTCTGTCTCGACCCAAAATACAGCTTACATTTACTATAAGACACTTACTTTGTATTCTGTTTACCAGCATTTACTGAAAATTCAGATAATCTCTGTTTACCTTACTTTGAAATTACGCTGAAATGTGCCTGATGGTGCTCTGCTTAAGCTCTGTGCGGAAACATGGATCCACACTTCAATAGTTATAAAAAAGCAATTTTATTAATTTTCTTGATTAAACTTGATTGTTACAAAACAAAAAGTCGCTTATTTAAACAATTATTTATATTTTAACGAAATATTGAAGTAAGTTAGCAAGTAGTTCTTTCGAATTAATGCACCCCTACCGAATACTGCAGAAATATATATGGCAGATATATCCCGACAAATACCGCGCCAATTTCAACTGTTATCATGAGATGACTGGTCCTTCATCATATTTACAACCGGTATATCATTTGAAATGATCCTGTTGACATTTTCTGAATTATCCTATTTCTTCTGATCAAGTTAACGACTACTTCAACTCTCCTTTTAACAATAATTTCTAGATAGCACTATGACAGTAAAATGGTGAGAAAATAAAAACATGTCAGTACTTCCTTTCAGTTAATTCAGTATTGTTCCCTGTCGGAACGCTTTTAAAATGATAATGACATCTGTAACATGTCATCAATATATGGTCCCGAGAAAATAGATGTTTCCCCGGAACTGTCGTTGTTACCCCGGAGAGGACCAGTTGTTTCTTGAATGATGAATTTATCATCACGTGATAGAAAACTTGTATCAATTCAGAGTTACCCCGGTTCAGGGTTCTGTCCCAGCAGGAACAGCTGATTAAGATAATCCTGTCCATACAGGCCCCTGTGGTCCAGGCAGGGTAATATGAACAAAGTATGAATTGTTTATCAAACTGTCTCCATTGAAAGACATGAATATCGCATGCTTGCTGGGTTTGACGCTCATTAATCAGCACGGGTCATGTTTAGGTCGAGTCTCCTTGTAGATTGTGGGTACCTCGATCACAGATCGCCATACGGGAAGCCCGTCGCATACCGTTCAAAGCAAGTAGGGGTAAGTGTCTTGTCCAGATAGAATCACGTCAGCTTTCTGAGAAATACAAACTACCAAGTGTAGGGAACGTTAAAAAGTTACTTATTCCAAAGCTCAACCGACTGAGGTACATTGCAACACCTCTGGAGCTTAGACAATGACGTTTACATGACACGTCATAAATATCAGGTATGTACAGTGTTTTTTATAACATGTATATACAAGGTAACTGTTACTACAAGTTGTGCTGATTTTCGATAACAAATTCATCATAAATTTGTCTTAGAAGCTAATTTACATACGGCACAATAAAAGGTGGCATGATCAAAGAAAGTAAGTGACGTCAATATCACTATGACGTCATACTAAGAGCATAGCAACGTTCTGTTTCAAAGACCCGGTTTCTTCAGCATGACTGATGTAGACGAGGGAGAAACAAATAAGACAGAAGATGTGTTTCGGGAGGCTCTGCAGGTAAGCTCTCTAGCTCACTATGCACGTGTACAAGCTCACGAGGCAGACCTAAAAGCTCGACACTCCATGGCGCTTGCCGAGCGAGCTATGTGTGAAGCGGCATCTGTCAAGCAAGTTGCCGAGAGCCTCACGCACACTGCACGTGCAGTGGCCAAGATGGCCCTTGAAATTGCAATGGGTCCGAACTCGTCGGACAGACTTTTCCCGGACCATCCCCTATACAACTTTCAGGCAGAGCTGGATCGCCAAGATTCGGACACTGACCGACAAAGAAAATACCCCGCCGAATTCCAGGAGGATATGGAAGAACGCCTGTTAGATTCGACAGAGCACAAAGGTCGGTACTGCAAACCGAGGACATCCAGTTCGTATGGTGTGATCGTCGCCAACACGGCAATACAACCCCTTGGCACAGGCAGTCCAGGGACGGGCACACATGCCTTGGGTACCGTAGCTTCTACACCCATAAAGTACATAGAACCTTTCCCTGCCCAGCTGTCCAACAGCAAGGAAGCCTTGCCGCGGGAGATTGACAGCTCCCACTCCCTGCCAACCGTGTGGGAGGACTCTTATCAAGGACCTCGCGAATTCAAGCGCGTGTCCTACACAGAGAAAAAGTCAATGCGCAAAATACAAAGGAAGCTGCAGAATATCGAAGACGAAGAAGGGGACGACAGTGATGGTAGGAACGACGGTTCAAGTCTTCGGGACAAGCGGGGAGGTGGTAACAGCAAGGAAAAACTCCTTCATTCCGTCAGGTTTAGCGAGACATTTAACACAGACGGGAGTAGAAAATAGAGGACCGTCTCAAGACCAATACAGTACGAAGTGGCTGTTTTCTAGAATTAAAAGATATCAATGTATATTAGTTCGACTCAGGTTGTTATCAGATATTGGCCACTTCATCTGGGTCATCTATTGGATAGATATATCACACTGGTAATGCTGGCGGACAACGTAAACAACTAATCAGTCTATTAATGAAATAAAATATTCAGAACAGTTGATGTCACGTGCTACATAACTTAATCATTTTACATTCGAGCTATTTTTAAATCAACACGCATTTTTTGTTTGACTGCCTTTTAGTTCTTCTATTACGAAGTCTCTGAGAATTGAGTACACTTGACACTGGAAGGTGTCGGAGAATAAAATTAATGTTTATTTTCTTAATATTTTTCAGTAAGATATAAAAAAAAAAACAGTTAAGGATAGGTTGTAGTAAGTAAGGACCCGTATGAAATATTTCAGATCTGGCTTTCATTCTAAGGACGATGACAGTGATTTCCAACCATATAGTGACCTAAGAGGAAGTTTTCTTGTATAAATCTGATTTTGTGGGTATCATTTGTTGATGTTATGTAAAGAGATGAATCAATACGCTCAATAGCCACATGTTTATTGATGATTTAAAGAAATTATATTAACATGGATACACTTCTTCGAAGGGCTTGGGGATCCCAATCAAGTGATCATCTTTGTAAGGCCGCCAGGACCCCTATATTTATAATTACTATAGATGTATTGGGCAGTTTATCTCATATTTTTACAATTGTTTGGACCTGATCGACATAAAACGGTATTGACAAGGGGTTTGTATTGTTCGTTTACTCTGCAACTCAAACATTATTGGAAGAATTCTTGCGTCTTTTAATGTTCCTTCCCAAACACCCCTTTCAACAGTACATTATCAGAGATAAAATAAGGATCTATGATTAACAAAGAGGTCTTGCCATCCCCAGCACTTCATCCTAATATGCAATAAGTCCAATGTCGTGGTTATTCATCAGTCATTAAAGAATTTTAACACATTTGACCCTGTGACATTGAGAGTGTGTCAAGGTCAGTCATTTGAATAAACTCACCATACCTTCATCCCAGAATTATTACAAGCTCAATATCATGACCCTGGGATCTTGGTCATTAACTAGAAATCATTTCAGAATTTTAACACATTTGACCCCTGTGAAATGGGTCAATGTCATCCATCTGTACAAAGATGGTCCATCCCAGCATGCCCTTTGAGTAGGTGTGACATTAATACAAGAGCCCATTATACCTGGATGTTTCAGCTGCAATGGCAGTATTATTCCAGATAAGCCTTTACCAGTGAGGTAACGCCCTGAATTCAACCAGTAGCATGAGTGTGGCCATCTCTTTGTGTCCAGCAAATACACATGTTTATTGAGTTAAGAACATTTCTGTACTTTGACCTCTTTACTAGTCTCCAAGACCAGGGTAATCATCTTTTCATATCTAACATTGTATATCTGGTTCTGATGGTAAGGATCTCCATAATTTTCAATGTCTAATAAGAGAGGGTCAGATCTAAGGGTCAAGACATGTAGTTCTCTGTGTATATACTTATTCAAGAATACTAATTTTTAGTGTTAGGTTGGAATCTTTCTATTTTTAGTGTTAGGTTGGAATCTTTCTATTTTTAGTGTTAGGGTGGAATCTTTCTATTTTTAGTGTTAGGTTGGAATCTTTCTATTTTTAGTGTTAGGGTGGAATCTTTCTATTTTTAGTGTTAGGTTGGAATCTTTCTATTTTTAGTGTTAGGTTGGAATCTTTCTATTTTTAGTGTTAGGTTGGAATCTTTCTATTTTTAGTGTTAGGTTGGAATCTTTCACCATGATCCTGTATATATATATATATATATATATATATATATATATATATATAAAACACAACAGTAGATTTGTCACTGTTCATTTTAATAACAGCACTACAATAACTCAGTCTGTGGAAACTGGACACAGATGTAACAGATGTCAATCAAACAAGTCTCTTCTTACATTTGTAAAACAATTTATCCAAAAATCTGTCATTCTTAAAAATGTGTATTCCTCACAGTGATCCATTTCCACAGGTGTAATATACTGTAGAACAGTGTTAGGATGGAGGCAGCCATCCCTGTTCTGGCCTTTACATCAAATTATGCTTATGTGTCTTTCTGGTTCAACGATGAGTAAATATTCCGACCTCTGGACAGAACATGTAGGGCTTGGTACGATTTGGTCCCCTGAAATACACAAATGGCTAAAGCATAAGAGATACATACAAAACTGCACCAAAACATTTTTACTGACACTTTGATCAAACAGTTTACAACTTGGTCAGTTTTACCTAAAAACATTCGGGACTTTGATACCATAGATAATATGATACCTCATGATACAGATACATGTAGTAACCTTGTGTAGCATTTTTTACTTTGATATATAATGTAGTCCTCAATGTATAGTCTTAGATACCGCCATGAGATCCTCAAAGTGTACATAGCTAGTTAACATGATGAATATTTCCCCCTTGGATATCTCTACCTCCACTTGTAACTACCTTGTTACCATCACTAGAACCTCAGTGTGTATAATCTGTATGTATCTTATGTGTTACCATGGTGATTATCTCCCCCTTGGATATCTCCAACAGACCCTTAGTGTGTATGTAACTTGTTACCATGGTGATTATCTCCCCATTGGATATCTCCAACAGACTCTCAGTGTGTATCTAACTTGTTACCATGGTGATGATTATCTCCCCCTTGGATATCTCCAACAGACCCTTAGTGTATGTAACTTGTTACCATGGTGAGTATCTCCCCATTGGATATCTCCAACAGACCCTTAGTGTTTATCTTACTTGTTACCATGGTGATTATCTCCCTGTTGGATATCTCCAACAGACCCTTAGTGTTTATCTTACTTGTTACCATGGTGATTATCACCCCTAGGATATCTCCAACAGGCCCTCAGAGTGTACCTACCTTGTTACCCTGGTGAACACTTTTTCTTTAGATATCTCCATTGGACCCTCACTTTCCATGTTTTGAGCCTCCGTCTCCAGGTAGATATCAAAACACATCATTAAACGTTGCATTTGATTGGATAAGATTTGGTCATGTGATTTTTCTTTCATCAGTTCCTGGTAATGCAGATTGACCTCTTCCTCCATTGCCTGAAATGTGAAAGGATTAAAGCTTTGAAGCTTTGATTATGTAAATAACTGAAGAATCCACAATAAACATGTACAACTGACCTTTTTTTAAATCTCATTACATGATCTATATATCTCCTTCCTGTATATGGCAGTCATTATCACCTGTATATCATCTACCTGTATATGACAGTCATTATCACCTATATATCACCTACCTGTATATTGCAGTCATTATCACCTATATATCACCTACCTGTGTAAAGCAGTTGTTATCACCTGTATATCACCTACCTGTATATGACAGTCATTATCACCTATATATCACCTACCTGTATATGAAAGTCATTATCACCTATATATCACCTACCTGTATATGGCAGTCATTATCACCTGTATATCACCTACCTGTATATGGCAGTGTTATCACCTATATATCACCTACCTGTGTAAGGCAGTTGTTATCACCTGTATATCACCTACCTGTATATGGCAGTCATTATCACCTGTATATCATCTACCTGTATATGACAGTCATTATCACCTATATATCAACTACCTGTGTAAGGCAGTTGTTATCACCTGTATATCACCTACCTGTATATGACAGTCATTATCACCTATATATCACCTACCTGTATATGGCAGTCATTATCACCTGTATATCATCTACCTGTATATGACAGTCATTATCACCTATATATCACCTACCTGTATATTGCAGTCATTATCACCTATATATCACCTACCTGTGTAAGGCAGTTGTTATCACCTGTATATCACCTACCTGTATATGACAGTCATTATCACCTATATATCACCTACCTGTATATGAAAGTCATTATCACCTATATATCACCTACCTGTGTAAGGCAGTTGTTATCACCTGTATATCACCTACCTGTATATGACAGTCATTATCACCTATATATCACCTACCTGTATATGAAAGTCATTATCACCTATATATCACCTACCTGTATATGGCAGTCATTATCACCTGTATATCACCTACCTGTATATGGCAGTCATTATCACCTATATATCACCTACCTGTGTAAGGCAGTTGTTATCACCTGTATATCACCTACCTGTATATGGCAGTCATTATCACCTGTATATCATCTACCTGTATATGACAGTCATTATCACCTATATATCAACTACCTGTGTAAGGCAGTTGTTATCACCTGTATATCACCTACCTGTATATGACAGTCATTATCACCTATATATCACCTACCTGTATATGGCAGTCATTATCACCTGTATATCATCTACCTGTATATGACAGTCATTATCACCTATATATCACCTACCTGTATATTGCAGTCATTATCACCTATATATCACCTACCTGTGTAAGGCAGTTGTTATCACCTGTATATCACCTACCTGTATATGACAGTCATTATCACCTATATATCACCTACCTGTATATGAAAGTCATTATCACCTATATATCACCTACCTGTATATGGCAGTCATTATCACCTGTATATCATCTACCTGTATATGACAGTCATTATCACCTATATATCACCTACCTGTATATTGCAGTCATTATCACCTATATATCACCTACCTGTGTAAGGCAGTTGTTATCACCTGTATATCACCTACCTGTATATGACAGTCATTATCACCTATATATCACCTACCTGTATATGAAAGTCATTATCACCTATATATCACCTACCTGTATATGGCAGTCATTATCACCTGTATATCACCTACCTGTATATGGCAGTCATTATCACCTATATATCACCTACCTGTGTAAGGCAGTTGTTATCACCTGTATATCACCTACCTGTATATGGCAGTCATTATCACCTGTATATCACCTACCTGTATATGGCAGTCGTTCAGAGCTGTCCTATCTGTCTGCCAGTGAACATTAACAACAAACCAAGGAACCACTTCAGGATAGTTTGCTGTGAGTACCACCTGAACCGTCATTTTAGCTGGAAAAAATATGGAGTGATTGATAAATTGATACTACAAAATGTCTTATAAAATTATACATAGATAATTACTAATCAAATAGATATTCATCTAACTTTTTGAGTCTTTGCTTTGTAAATGACCAGAAGGAACAAGGACATCAGATTGAAAATACATTCATTTTGGCCAGACATATCTTGGTTGGAAAATGATATCTAACATTTATACATTAGGTACAACTTAAATAATAAACACAAAATGTAGATTTACTCATAGTCATGTCATCCAGAGATCTGAACAGAAATCAGAACATAAATATATATACAGACATGTCCCAGGGAGGTGTGAACACCATCAGGACATGGATATATATACACAGACATGTCCCAGGGAGGTCTGAACACCATCAGGACATGGATGTATATACACACGTCACAAGGAGGTCTGAACGCCATCAGAACATAGATGTATATACAGACATGTCACAGGGAGGTCTGAAAGCCATCAGGACATGGATATATATACACACGTCACAAGGAGGTCTGAACGCCATCAGGACATAGATGTATATACAGACATGTCACAGGGAGGTCTGAAAGCCATCAGGACATGGATGTATACAGACATGTCCCAGGGAGGTCTGAACACCATCAGGACATGGATGTATACAGACATGTCACAGGGAGGTCTGAAAGCCATCAGGACATGGATATATATACAGACATGTCACAGGGAGGTCTGAACGCCATCAGGACATGGACACATAGATAGACAAGTTATACAGTGACCTAAACAGATATTAGGACATGGCATACTGACATCAGGACATATAGACAAACATGCCATAGGAGGATGTTAAAGACACCAGGACATATAGACAGACATCTTAAAGAATTACCTAAATTGACATGAGGATGTAGACATACAGACAGACATATCATAGGGAGACCTGAACAGACATCAGGACATGACATTCATTGTATGCATGAATAGAAAGACAAATGAACCAGGCATGGATAAATCAAAGGAAGGTGATAGATGGATGGTTCAACATGATTAACATAAAGATATAGATTGGCTGGCAAAGACATTGATTAGGTATGACACCAGACAGGTATAAATTCTTACCTGAACACCTCTCAATGACTGCTGTGAAGTACAGGTCAGACTCGCCTGCCAGACCAGCTGTGATGGCAGGGCGAGTATGGGGCAACACACTAAAGTCTTCATAGGTTGATCGTTTCCATGAAACAAGGCGTGCAACAATTTTGGCAGGAAACAAGGGAAGGTAATCCCTACTCACTTGTACAGATCCTCGCTCTGTCATTACAAGTTATAATTTTACTGTTGAAATGGTCAGTATAAGTATCTAACACTACAATGTCTTGTTCTCCACAAAACCATATAACATACCTTATCATGGATTGACTATGCATACAATTTACATACTGCAAATTCATTTATACAGTTTACAAACTAAAGAATCATTTTACAAAAATTCAAAATGACTTTCAAACTTGAGGTTATTAAGAAAAAAAACATCATTAACTTTCAAAAAATCATCTTCCTTGTATCAACACCTAAATCAAAGATCTGTTTTAACTATTAGCAAAATCTTGAGTGCAGACACATAACTGTACCTATCTCTTCCACACGATCAGAATTTAAGACAAACCAGAAAGCTGTTTACATGCTAATTTATGAACAATAAGAGTAGGTATTAAGAGAATCCTGCATATCTTGATATTTTGGATAAAAGTTCAGCAGAAAAGCAGGTCCACAATATGGTAAATATGTCCAGTTTTGATTCTGTTATAATAGTACTTTCATTTTCAAAGAACTGTTACATGTATAAACCCAGGGTTGAGTCACTTTTTAAACTCTTGAACAAATCAAATGGCTGACAGTGTACATAATAGTTCCAAAACACAACTGGAAACCCTGGACTCTGAACATGAAACAATGTATAGAAAAAAACGTTATTTTACATGGATATTAAATATTTTAGTACTTGTCTAATACCTAATGCTGCAAGTTGTTGTAAAAGGGATGTCCGAGACCGGATCCTGCGGCGAAGAAGTTTCACTGTCTGTTGCATATGAGCTGAAGAAATGGAGCTCTGAGCCTTTAGGGGACTGTCATGGTCGAGGAACTGTAGACCACCCAGCCATTGAGCCCAAAGGAATGGTCTACCAAGCTCAGGAATGTAGTGAGCAAAGTCTCTTAATCTGTTTAAATAAAATATACCACTCGGTTAATAGAAAACACCACTTGGTCAACAGAATGCAATAAAATGTAAAATGAAACTGCTCAATGATTGTGACTTAATTGATGTAAAATGACAAGTTGTAAAGCTTCAAGATGGTTGATACCTTAATGATTCAACTTAGAAATGTCTAAGATATCTGTAGTCAACTGATTAGGAGCAAAGCTTATCAAGTCACAGATAACAGCTATTTATGTGTTGAGCAGGAAGATTTTATATTGAGAAATTTCATACTGTTCATGAAAACAAATTAGGGATACTAACACCATTACAATATAATCATGTTTCTTGATATTGTCATATATGTAAAATTTTTAATTATAAACTACATCTAGCATAGAAAGAGCTATCCATTTGGCACAAGTTTTTACATGTAAGTTATGCACCTCACTTCAGTGTCATAGCAATTCCAATGACTTGTTAGCGACAAATTCTTTACACTCACTTACCCAAGTCTGCGTAGCTCATACTGATTGGCTGGATTAGGTGTTGTGTTTCCGTGGTCACCTGGGTAGATATCATTAAGGACTGACTCTGCTGAGAGTAGGTCACTGTTACATTAACAAAAGTCGGTCTCAGATATTAATGGAATGAAGTTACCATGATATTAACAGAACAAAGCAGGTGTAAAATGGATAGAAGTCACTATGATACAATCAAAAATTGATATTAAAAGGGTTAGATGAATGAAGTATCAACAGCACAAGTTCATTGTATTAATGACAGAAGTACATCACTTTGATACAGATTGAAGCTACTGTGATGCAACAGAATTTGGATATTAAATTAAGTAACTGTGATATGGATAGAAGTCGTTTTGATATCAACAGAAGTCTGTGATATTAACAGAATTAGATCACATATGATACAAAGTAAACATTGTTATGATGTAGACTCAAGCACTCAATAGGGAGTAGATATAGTGTGTTATCATTTCTTCTTACTAGTTAAAATGTCTAAATTATCATAAAGCAATCACAGGTGTTGGATGTTCTGTTGACCTTCACCTAACCTTAGTTTGACAGAAAGAGAAACAAACACATGTTCTGATGACTTTCACCTAACCATAGTTTGACAGAAAGAGAAACAAACACATTTTAGAACATGAATGGTATAAGTGTACATCAATGTTGTTCACTTACCAAAGAAAAGGCTTATCTTGTCAGTCATATGTAAAGGATGAGTGCGAGCAGATAAAGGAGGAGGGGAGATAACTTGTTTGCATGACAAATCAAATCTTCACATTGTGCTTCATGAGCAGGGAAGCTTATTGCATTTAATTTGACTAGTAAATCTTGAACAATAAAGTAATATTTGTAATCAATAATTTGAAAACTATTTGAAATAAAACCCAAGAAATCATGTTTTAAAATTCTCTTCCAACAGGTGTTGGTTTGGTTTCATTTGCATTTTGAAGTGGATTTTCATCAAATGATATAATGTATGTATTAATGAGAAAGTGTGTTCCAGTTTTTATTTTCAGCAAGCACTGAGGATCCATACTTACTAATCAAAATCTGAGATTAAACAAACTGAATTATAGGATCATGACAAGATAACAGAAAAATACAAATCTTAAAACATCTTCTGTATATCTATAAAAAGTGAACTAAAAGTAATCATACATAAAGCTGAGAGTAAAAAGGACCAATATAAGACATAGAGTGTAGCCTACCCTCCACTGATGGATGAGGTGACATTGTCAGGGCCAGGCTGAAATTTTGTTTCAACAGTGATGATTTCTAAAGACATCTGGTAGTGAAATTTAAGGTAAAGACAGCCTCCATCCCGGCAACTGATTTCCATGACAACAGCAAGAGGATGACGCTGCAAGGCACGTGCTTTTCTGTCTGATACACGGCTGTCACTTGTTTTCCTGCGGCGTTTCTGTAAAGGTAAATAAATAAACATACAAATACTATATGTGTATGAAGAATTGTGTATTCATCACGTTTTTCTGTACAATTAGGATCTGGCATTTTAATACTGCTTATATGTTGGGTTTTCATACACATATCTTGATATGTAAAATTACGAAATGAGTCCCAGGAATTTTTCATTTCAGTGACCCTTCGTGATGAGTTTCCTGAATCACATCTCAAATAGAAACAAATTTAAAATCCTTTTGTTGGCATGATCAATCAGATGAACTTTTACTCTGTCTGAATGGTCTACATTGTTGTTGCAATGCAAACTGTGACCTCAGGTCAATATCTGAACCCGGCATTAAAAAAGGTTATATTGTGTCTTTTATTATGCAAAATGAAATTACACTGGTAAATTGAAAAGTCAATAACAAGTGATGACTTGCTTACATACAGCAGTGTTGGAGTGTTAAAATAGGATTCACAATCTGTGTATATTTACTATATTATATAGGTTTTATTAGTTAGTACTCCTGAAGAATTTTCCATATCACAGAATGTGATCATTTGTTTACCCTAGCAGTAAATAAGCAATACAGAATTGTGTCTTATATCACAAACAAGAAAATCTAAATCTGAAGAAGTAGGCTACATATTGTTGAGTTTCCACATGTTTATGTATTTACTTACAGATGAAGGTTTATCCTGTTCCTCCTGATCACTGTCACTGTCGTCATCTGTAGATAAATAAACAAGGCATGTCAGGATATGTCAAAAATGGAAAAATAAAAAAAATCGTAAATTTAACCAATACATTGTAAAATATAAGCCATGATAGTACTGTGATTCTCTGTGTGTTTGAGTACTGTATTACTGAAAAGTAGGAACAAATTGTACCATGTTCAAAAGAAGGTTTATTAAATTGCTGTTTCATGCCAAATAAACTGGGGACAGAAAGAACATAATCATATACACTGAGTCTAGTTACACAGGATTTTATGAGGTCACATATCTTAAACATTATAACAACATAACTTTCAATACCAATCTAAATACATTAGGCAACCCTAATTGTGACTAAGGCGATATAAAATCTTACCAATCTCAGTAACTGAGCTCTTTATGGACTTGGCTGCTTGTAAATCCCCCTCAATCCTGACCTCCAAGTGTTTGTCTGTAACAAGCATATACAATGTAGCAGACATCATACTACATCCATAACATTCATTTCATAATATTATGGCAATGACCTTGACCCAAAATGATGCCTCTAAATTGTGAAGGATTTCTAGTCAGTATTTACTTTGATAACTATCTCACCAAAGTTCTATTAATGGCCAACTTAAATTCAAGCACATTTTTTTTTAAGTTTTTGTGCACTGACTTCAAATTAAAGCTATTTTTAGTAATCCATGAGAACAGTTGACATACTTATTACAACTAAATCTAAAAGCTACCAAACCAGACTAAACAAATATTTAGTGAATATTGCAAAAATCTATCAAAAATATTTGATCGTTAAAATTCTATATAAACAAAATGAAATGCATGTACATATTATTTTAAATCTGGTAGTCCCATTAAATCACAAAAATCTACATACCACAAGCCTGTTTGTAGGCACTGGACTGCATATATAGGACATACAGAGGGTGTGGTAGGTGACATGCAGTCTGATGCTGCTCACGAATCTGGTCAAAAGGCATTCCAAGGTACTCCTGTACAGGCTTAGTGGACTACAATAAACACACAAGGAGATTACAAAAATCCTACCAGGTGTGGTTTACATAAGTTATGCTTTCATTATGTCCTCGAATTTGTTTTAAGGTTTGGTCACATGACCGTATATAAGTTTCTGCCTATAATATAGTATCAGGTTTTGGCTTCAGATAATGTTTTACCTGTGATGCTGCATTGTTTTGGTAATATATAATAATCATGTAATATTGTGTTGATGTTAAGCTGTGTATAATATTTTACTTGTAATACTGTGTAGAGTTTAGACTGTAGATAATGTTCTACCTGCAAAATTGTGTTCAGTTTTGGTTGTAGATTTTCCAAATATTCTTGCTTTGTTTTTATTTCCTGTTCCAGCTTCTCTTTGTTGTCCTTGGCCTCCTTCAGCTTCATGTCGAGACGCTTCCTCTGTTCCAGCTCCCAGTCTAGGCGGGCTAGAGTCCTCTGATGGCTGTCAGATTGTGTCACTTCCTGGAGACATATCATAATATAATCACCCTTTTTAGTATCAGGACTTCATTTAGTTAACTGATCTGATATGTTAGGTAATAAAACTCTCATAAACATCTATGCATAATCATTTTGTGTGCAATTTTCACATCAGTGCATGTAATCAAAGGGAGACAACCCTGGCATACTATACAAACATCAACACAACAGAAACAGTGTCAAGCACGCCATATGACTTTACAGGCAGGCATGTACAATGTAACTTAACAGATATATTTTTGGATGCTGTATTACCTACCTGACGGGATATCTCTTCTGGTGCTTCCTGATAGAACTTGTCAATTGACACAAGTTCTATTTCCTCATCTTTAGATCTGAAATCAAGCAAGGTATTTATATTACCACATATTAATGGTTCACAGAAGTTTCTTTCAAATGAAAGTATCAACATTAAATCGTATTGATATTCAATACAAATTTTCTTTTTCATCCTAGACAGCTCAAGATTTTATTATACCTTAGAAAGTCAATAATGGTGCACATATTCCACACAATTCTCTTTCACACTTCAGACAGTTCATAGAATTATTCATTCTCAAGACAGCCTCAGTTATTTAAGATGGATTATTTACATGCAAAGATAGCTTTTAACAAACGTCTTACTTGAATTCTAGACATCGTGTGATCTCTTTCTCAAGGTGCATGGTCTCATAAAGGAGGTTTTGCAGCTGTAGATGATACTGGTCAATCCTCTGCTTGGCCTAGAAAAACATCTCCATCAATACAGGGTGTTCTAAGACGTAAATATCAGACAATACAAAAGTGTACATAACATCCTTGAATAACAAGCTCTGGATTGACAAATACATTTGGTGAATTGGGGGATTTACATACTCTTGGAAAGTAACACACACATTTAGAGAATGTATGTATTGACAAACATATTTGGAGAATGTGGGATAGAGATAGGAATATACATTAAGGATTGTGAGAACTACATTTACCTCACTTGTTGCATCTCGTACTTTCTTACATCGCACATGAGCCAGGCGGTTCAGTTTTTTCAAGACAACAAACTGAAGAAGTGCATTAATCTTCTTTTCTTCAATTTCTTCAGACTGCAGTAATAAAGAGGAGAAAATAAAGTGAAAATCAAGAATCATTAATCAAACTATGTATATCATAGATACACAGATATTTTATGATATCCCAAAAACATGAAGAAATTGACTTTTTTTGTCAAAAATTACCTTTTTACAACTTATCTGTATTCCAACTTTGCAAATATCATATTAATGATCATGTGACAGGCTGATAACTGGAAGTGGGAAATTTTGTGATATTTTGCTGATTGATTCAACCCAAATGTGCAAGATTCATGATTCAATTCTACACAATGACAAAAGTAAACCCAAATATACAAATAATTATACCTCTACAGAGACAAATCAATCAAGCGTGATCAAACTCAAAATCTTTAATTTTTGATGGCATGCGATATATTTAAATGATACTGATTCTAGACAATTGTAATTCATAATCAGTCTAAACATATATCCCAAGCTGAATCTGATCATCACCTGAGAAACCTAAGGGTTTAGCTTGATCTAGATTAGATTGACTAACTGAGAATAATTGCTTATGAATAACCATGGCAAACTTAAAAGGTGACTGCAAGATTCTTCATTAGTTACAGCAGAACAATTGTTGAAGTACTTATTAATGCCATCATGTCTGTTTGTATTCAGAACTTACACAGTCTTTGCCTTTTTTCTCCTTGAGTTTCTTTATGTCGGCCATTGCAGTTCTAATTTCTTCAGATGTTTTGCGGAACGTTGCAAGGTCATTCAAGGGGTCGCGATTATCAACCTCCTCCTCCTCTGCATAGAAAAGGCTGCTTTTACTTTCCTACATGAAAATAACAAAAGAAACATTTCATTCATAGAAAAACATATATGCAGAACTTTTGGCATAACATGTATGATTTTTTTTCCAGGTATGAAATAACAACAAGATGACTCATTTTAGATGATATCATTAAGATATACACTCAGATGAACCAAGCATAATACTAAAAATGCACAGTGCTTTTACCAGTGGAGCATCTGAAGGAGGAAGTCTGTTCGCTTTTCTGATGGTTTCTGGATTTTTTATTCTCAATCAACTTTCTTTTCTATAAGGAAAAGAATCAGTGTTTTCAAAGTGATATGGCTGTTTTCTATATGGACTACATCAACACATCATGTTGCCATGAATTAATTGTCATTAACTGAATTGTCTATGGCATCATAGATCACTAAGTATCACTATGAATGGACTGTTATGGTCTTCCATTTGTACAACTCTGAGTCTGATACATTGACACATCCAAAGTTCAACCGTCTATAACCATGTATATAAAACATTTACAGAAATCTGGGTTTCATTCCAATTGGAGCATAGGGGCAAGTCACTATTATAAGGCTTTTAAGAGCTTGAAGTGCCCTACCTTCTACTCATAACCTGTATAGGTCAGACAACCCGAGTGTGTTAAAAGCCTTACGACAGTGACATGGCCCTATATGAGCAGGTTGTGTTCAACCCTGCATATCATGGGTAATAGTCCTCCTGCATTAATAGCCATGGAATAGTTACTGCTTTGAGTAATCAGTTAGTACTCAAATCATAGGCACCTGTATCTGGAGCGTAAACAACACAAGAAAAACTTCAGTCCACTATAGCATGATGTATAATATACTGGATTTTACCTTCCAGGTACAAGTGCCTGTGTTCAAAGTCAAATGCAGAGTCATTTTGAAATAGATACACATTCTTTTTTAATGTTTTCAACGAAGAAATCCCTGTCAAACACCAATATGATTTCTGGAGGCCCCTGGAGATAAAGCAGAACAGGAGAAAAATCCTCTCCACAGATCTCTGGCCCCGCGTTATAGTACTGGTGTTCAATAATAGGCCTATTTAGATCTGTACTGTAGGTATTGTGCGATCAAGTCGCTACTTAAAACAGTGAATGGCGATCTATAGCAAATGTCATACCTTGACAGAAACATCACTTTTTATTCTCTTGCTGTCTCCTACCGCTGTAACCGATGTGGTTTCTTTCCTTATGGTTCTTTTCCTTTTAATCTCAGTTTTAACCGGTTCGTCTTTGCTGGCCATGGCGCCGGAAGATGCTGAAAGTTATTACAGTTCTCATAAACGCTTAAATGAAGTAGATCGTTGTAAGCGTTTAGATGATGTTGACTAGCTAAAAGAGAAAACACGCACACACAATTAAAAGAAAAAGACAAAAACGAAAGAAAGGGGATGCCAAGAATATCTAACCTTAATTTATGTTTTTTTATTCAATCACAAATACAAAACTGGCGGCATTGTCTTCCCTGATATGATAATTATCCAAGTCCGTAGGAGCTGTTTTAGTTTTTAGCGGAATTGTTTGCGAGTTATTCCCCGTTAATTACAATTTATCACTTATGACGCTGTTATCCGTTAGATTGTCTATACAGCCGAGCCTTCAATTTCGCTTAACATTCAAAAAAAGTTTGATGGACTTGACAATGACTATAATAGAGAATATATAAGAATATACTGTATTATTAGTATATAAAGTCAGGTGCAATTACAACAGGTGATTCATATCACTGTACATGACGTGTTGTTAATATTCGGACATTGTAATACAACTGACAAAGGAAGACAATTCTTCACTATATATATAAAAGCATAGATTATATCATACGTCCTTCTTTAAGTAAATTGAAAAATAGCTACTGTTTACTTTACACAACAAATAACCATAGTGCAAGGTACATACCTTAATTTCCAGTATATATATTCTGTATATATGACAAACATTTGAATGTTTGGGATTCACCGCATCACTGTCCAGTCCCCAATGAACTTCCCATGCAAATGAATGACCATCCAGTTTTTGGTTCGAATGAATGACTATACTAAAATAGTGTGTGACGATTCGGTAAAACTCGCCATCTTGAAATGTCCCCTCCAGACCATCAACAGCGCTCTTTATTCTGTCCGATACCAAAATCTTCGCCAGCAACCTACATGTTGCCTTTTTAAGAGAAATACAGGAAAGTTTACAAACTGTTTGAAGTATCTAATAGCTAAGGCTGCATGACAACCAGTTAATTCGCGGCATAACTCAATTGGTGTATACAATACAGTTGTACATATAATCAACGAAGTTCGTTGTCTCCATCAAGTAGCCATTAAACAGTTCCAAAAATTGACAATTTCTTGAATTCAATTGGTCATAACTGAAGAGAAAGCGGGGTCATAAACATATCTGTCTAAAACTTTTGTAAAGAATTCATTCGAACGTTTTTCGGAGAAATGTGACTATGAACATATAGGTATTGTGAAAAATAATGAACTTGATACAAAGTGCCGCTCATGAAAAGACGACAACAGATGAAGTTTTGTTGTATTTCATAGTCTATACCATTGTCATATAAAATAAAATTGTATTTCAGCGAAACACTATGTGACATCGCTATAATGATGACACTAGGTGACATCGCTATAATGAAGACTTTAGGTGAAATCGCTGTAATGATGACACTAGGTGACATCGCTATAATGATAATGATGACACTAGGTGACATCGCTATAATGATGACACTAGGTGACATCGCTATAATGATGACACTAGGTGACATCGCTATAATGATGACACTAGGTGACATCGCTATAATGATGACACTAGGTGACATCGCTATAATGATGACACTAGGTGACATCGCTATAATGATGACACTAGGTGACTTCACTATAATGATGACACTAGGTGACATCGCTCTAATGATGACACTAGGTGACATCGCTATAATGATGACACTAGGTGACATAGTTATAATGATGACACTAGGTGACATCACTATAATGATGACACTAGGTGACATCACTATAATGATGCCACTAGGTGACTTCACTATAATGATGACTCTAGGTGACATAGTTATAATGATGACACTAGGTGACATCGCTCTAATGATGACACTAGGTGACATCACTATAATGAAGACACTAGGTGAAATCGCTATAATGATGCTACTAGGTGACTTCACTATAATGATGACACTAGGTGACATAGTTATAATGATGACACTAGGTGACATCGCTATAATGACGACACTATGTGACATCGCTATAATGACGACACTAGGTGACATCGCTCTAATGACGACACTAGGTGACATCGCTATAATGATGACACTAGGTGACATCGCTATAATGACGACACTAGGTGACATCGCTCTAATAACGACACTAGGTGACATCGCTATAATGATGACACTAGGTGGCATTGCTTTAATGAACTACACTATGTTGCATCGCTATAATGATTACACAAGATGACATCACTGTATGGGTTACAATATGTGACATCACTATAATGATTACACAAGGGGGTGTAATTAAAATGATTACACTGAGTGATATCGCAAGTTCATTCAGATAATTATAATTACGATATCGCATATATGAAAGTAAAATGGCGCCCAATAAAGAGACACTGGAGTCGATATTGACTAAAGTATTTTATATTCCTATATAGGTCCCTTGTCCTGTGCCCCTTTATGAGTCACGGGAAGAAACGGAAGTTTTCAATCTTAATTAAGGTAACACGTGAGATCTACGTAGGCCTATATACTTAAAAAGATATATTCAGGTAATGTTAAAAAAGTTGTAATCGTTTACAGTATAACGGAATTTCGGTTTCATTTCAAGGAAGTTTTTTTTTACTAAGACATGAAGAGCTTCTGTGGGTGACGTCTAGAATAGGCCGTCACGCATAGTAACTGTTTATTATAAAGGGTAAGAAAAGATGACCTATAAAAATGACTACCAGTTTAACTCAATTTCTCTTATCTTCGTATCTCGTTACACAAAGATAATTGAAAAATCGTATTTCAATTACATTGACGGAACAATAACACTAACAGCGATATGGCCGGAAAGTGCAATAAAGGCTCGATATCAAGGAAAATGGCGACAAATAGATCATCGAAACATTTTATTGTCGTAATTATCAGCAACAGGATTGGGTACAATTTATTAAAACATAATTGAAGCCCTTTCCCAATACAATTTCATGGACGTCAATGTAATGCCGGAGTTGAACAAATGATTTCAATCATGAATTTGATATGACTTGGCATTTAGGAAAGTGACATTACAAATAAATTGAACGATTTTAACTTAATACTGTGGAATATAGTAGATTATATCATGACATTTCTCATAATGGTGAGAAAATCAATGAACAGTTCCACTTCAACTCTACAATTTGCCCCTTTGCGATTAGCATGCGAATTTCGACATTTTCGTTACACATTCTTCCAAAGTGTTACCAAAGCGATGAATTGAGTGCTATTCCACGTGTCAATATTTAGTAGGAAGTTTTAAAAATAAGACGAAGTCATGCAAATACAACTTGTCGAAAACAATTCTAATAGGAAAACTATAAGTTCCATAACTATGTTATGTAAGAGACTTTAATTCACAGAACTGATTACCGGTTGAAGACGAGTATGGTGCATGGTATCTGACATTTCGTTAAAAAGGGGGACCTTCAAATCGTAAAGGCGAAAAGCCGCCAAAAATGAACGAAGTTAACAAAAAATTACCAAAGCAAAATGTGAATGAAAAGACGTCAACCAGTTTTAAATTTCCATTATTTGGTCTGCTCGTTTGACGTTTTTTTCGCGGGGATCAAAGCGATAAGACGAAATGTCAATCAGTAGTCAAGACTTCATAAACGCGCAACCCAAGGCTATGATCATTTTTGTACTTCATACTCACAGCGAGTGAAATTCAATCCCACAATAATAGTAAAATTACCAGTAATTAAATGGTGCATCAGAAGAGCCTAAAGAATAAAGACCGTTTTTATTTTGATATGTATCTATTAATCTAGTCCGTGGTGATTTTCTGTGCCGTACATGGATAATGTTAGGTAAAACAGGCAATGTGACGCGTGCCACATGACCCGGAAACAATTATAAGTATATCATCTGTTCCACGAGCAGCGCGAGGTAAACAGGCGCACATGGTTGGAGCTAGCAGACGGCCCACCGACCGTCGTTGTACGTGGTCCCGTACGTACACAGGCGCATGTAGTAGGTAAATATCTATAGTGGTGGACAATGCCGGGCTACACCTGGTCATTTGTGGACCGTCCCAGAAGAAAGTGTATTTGTCCCCTTTGTCGTCTGCCGATGAGGGAGGCTGTCAGAGTGTCCTCGTGTGGCCACACCTTCTGTGACGTTTGTCTGCAGGAGTTCCTCAGGTAAGTCACACCTGGTACATACTCTACCTACATATACATACACCGACCAGTGTTATCCTATTAGTATATAACATCATTTAACAGAGTTGGGTAGGCCTACTGCTTAATGATTCTGATGTTATAAATGTAAGGAGAATAAAATTTAGGCCTATTAAAACAATATGTTTATTAAATTTCTTAGAACATAGTTTAAAAAGTCAATGAAAATAGAAACATAAACAATCATATCTTAAAAAAATATATCCGTTAGGGTTATAGGAGGCTGATAGACTTTAACAGTGCTTCCCCGAGAACTGCAACAATAAGTTTAGGGGATAGGAACCAGTGAGATTGGCTGGTAAATACAGAAAACATATTTATGTATCAGGATGTCCTCCTGATACTGTCGGTATCATATAGCTATCATGACATCTGAATTCATAGCCTGTATTTGGGTACAGACATAATGTATAAAGTAACCTGGGATATTTATGACCCAGTATATATGTACTGAAAGTGATGCCAGCATGTGATAGTTGTGAGATACCATATATGTCCCAACCAGAACTAGTGATACCATGTAATGCCTCTATGGTACCTAGATGTCTCTGGTACCTGTAAAATACCTGTATCATACTAGGGTGTATTTATTGTTGCCATTGCTGCTGGCCTGCAATGCTGAGTGTATTGATATTTGTAAAATACCATCTGTATCTATGGCGATAGCTGTAAAATACCAGTATCTATAGTGAAATCTGTACTATACTTGTATCTAATGATATCTGTATAATACCTGTCATATTTGGGATATATCTAAAGTGATATCTGTACAAATTACAATACCTGTAATCAGGCCTGGGATACCTGTCATTGCTATGGTGATACCTGTAACATTTTTGTGGTTAGATAACCCCTTAGTAAGCTACTCAGGTGTTATTGTGTTATTGATTGGGCAAGACTTTTCTAAGCCTTTATCATGTTATGTGTTGTGTAATCTTTTACAGGTGTACAATTACTGTATACTGTTCCAGATATTTACATAGTCATATACAGAATCTACCTAGTTATTATATTGACACTGGAATTTTGTATTCCTATCATGAGGATAAAATACTTCTTTCACCTCAGGGAAGGTAATATTTTGTTTGCACAGTGATAGGTAAATATACAGGATGACTTCAACACTTGGACAGAAGGACATCTTTCCCTAGGGTACAAATATAGCTCTGTTGTAATTCCCTAGTGTGAAATGTATGTTAAAGTGACACACGTTATGTTGACCTTGTTGGTGATTTACAGACCTAAAACAGCTCTCTGTATCTAACACACTTACATATTATTATAGAATCAATTAGGCTATTTACTTTGGTTTGTTTGAATAGGGAATGTATTTGACTGCTTTTACCTGTGATAAGGTATAATATCAGTAGTTGTTAATGATGTGCTTTTCCTTCTGTAATTACCTGAGCTATCAGGTATATCATAATGATTGTCATTACCTGATTTTGTGGTATATGGGCTACTGTATCAGCTAACTATAGTCATCACGTTATCATACATTTTAGTGAAGAAAAGAGACTGCTGACCCTTTTCATGAAAGTTGTTTCCATGGTTACGAATGTTATCCTTAAATGAAATTATTACAGTAATGAGGCCCAGCTCATTACAACTACATGGTTGCTCTGGCCATCTGCCTACAAGAAGCTGTGAGATTTGGGGGGTCTGATATAAGGAAGTGGTATGTTTTCCATCAGTTAAGATAATAAGGAACTTCCTGTTTGCCCAATTAGATATTGGTAAAGTGCCTCATTGTTTATAAAAAATACATTTTGTTGTACTAAGATGTAGACTTCAATTCTGTTCACATCAATATCAGTGTTTATGTTTGGACATTTTATTTCTGTTTCTCATTTTCTACATAGATATACTCGTAACCTATTGTAAAATGACTGTGATCATGCAAGTTGGATACATAGACATAATTAAAAATGTCAGTCAGATGTGAACCTTATTACAAGAAACCTGATACCAATTTTAGTTTTTTGATATTTACATATTTAAATATCGGTATCATTTTTGATTCCTTTAATACAAAACGGGAGTACTCAGTGAATTATGATTTGAATGAGATGAAAGTTAAATTGCAAGTCCTGAAGTATATGGGTGGTGTTATCACCCAGACTTAAAATAACCCAGTGCCATTCGTTTGCAGATCTGAGGTCACATAACTTTACTGATTTCTACAGTGTTGTTATGAATGAGCGACATGACAGATAAACAGATCAATAATGAATCTTTCATCTCTCAGGTTTCTAATTCAGTTTGTCATTCCCACAAATTATTTTATATACCATATGTTCATTAAAGTCTGGTTAGATTAGATTATTTGGCATCTATATCAAAAGAAATTAATTTGGAAGATAAAATACTTTTGTATTGATGTAACTTCTATAAAAAAGAAAATTAATTTGGTAGATAGACTATCATACTAGCATACACGTGCACTTGATTTACAAAACTTCCTAATTAAGAAGGTCATAGTGCATTTTCTGCAGTTTTATGCTGTAGTAGTGAACATGGCAGGCACTATGGTACATGGCATACTTCACACAAATTTCTGTATAAATGTAATATATAGGCTAATCGTGGGGTATACCAGGTTTACATTGTTTTCGCTGCATGGAAGTCAGGACACACAACACACTACATCTTGACTATAAACTTTAATAATGTTACAACAGTTGAGAAATGTGATGTCAGGTTAGATTAATCACTCATGCTAGCGGGGATGGAAGCACGGAGGGGTCTTACTGTGGGAGGAAGCCTGAGAGTACAGCCGGGGAGTGGTGGGGGTGGGGAAGCCCAAGTGGTCAATCAGGTGATTTGGAAATCAGATCTCGTACTTCCAGGTGAATTAAGGTGCAACCAACCACTTTGCCCCTTGACCATCTGATGGTACCTGTAAATCGTTAAGGTGACATTTTAGGATAGCTTATAAAGGACAATGAATGAGCATTTGCTCATAGTTTTACTGAATAGCAATATATATGGTGGGCCTATTGTCAGATACATTTTTAATGGGTCAATTAAAAAGTGCAGTGTAGGTTATCTAAAGTGCTGTCTAACTGTCATACAGTAATTTTACTTTGGTTAAACAGGGAGTAACTCATGAAACTGCTGGAAGTCAGAACCAGATATTGTCTAAAATATTGTAGTCATAAAATGCAGCATTGTAAACAGAATCCCCGCCTTCCCCAATCCCCTCCTTGAAAAGGAAAAAAGGACAAAAGCTTTATTATTATCATGCATTCATTTGGTGCTATTATTATTATGAATTAACATTGACTTTTCAAACATTTTTTTGATGTAGATTTAGCATGTGTTGTTGCCATTGAACAGTAAACATATACAACCCAATGTAATTGTTATGTTGCGGAATGTCTGCAATAAACTTGTATGATCCTGTAAGATAATGTGGGGTCTTCCAAAAATTTAATTTAAATTTTTTTTATAATTTCTTGGAGGTCATGACCAAAGAGATTTTGTCAGGTAGACAGATAGTTAGGATTGAAATTTAAATAAGTACTGAAGCTTTCCAGGGGACCAGCAGATCAATTGTATTTTATTTGATATCAGAATTAATCACAGAGAAATAGTGCTGATTCTGCATATCACTTGCCTTAAATAGTGACAGCGGGGGGATAAAGTTGTTATAACTAATACACACAGGTTTGCGTGTTCTACTTCGTACTATAAGCGCAATCATTGTGTGTAAACAAATTGCCACAATACTCATAATATTTAATATTTATATGCATGAGATGATTCTGTGATATAAATTACAAGCAAGTCTATGTGTTTTCTGTGTCCACCCATTCCCCATCCCTAAATTTTATGACCAATTTTGTTAAGTAAAGCTGTTAACTTAAGCTGTGTGTTAACCCTGCACTATTTGATGTGAGAATACACCAACCCCACAAACACATTTGACAGAAGTGTCCTTCACTATGGAATACATAAAAGGTTTAGGATGTGATCTAGTTCTACCCAGTACTTAAAGTTAGTGCCACAGGTAATTGATCATTTATCCGATTCTGTGTTGATGATGTTTTTCCCTACTGGGATGAATCATAAACTTTAAATGGTTAACTATTCAGTTCTTTTTATAGCAGTACTGCATCATCTCTAAAATAACTGATAGAAACCTTTCAGTTTTTTCTAAAGTATTAATTTCCTGTTTCTGTTTGTAAATTGTGATATTTGTGCGAAATGTAAATGTCATGCTACATAATGGTCTAATTTACCTGTGTGATGTGTTGGTAACAATTCATCACGTTTTCTTTTTGGAGATGTTACCTGACCTCCAGGCAATGTAAGTATAGACACAGCATTATAAGGCAGGAAATACATAAACCCCTTTATTTAAATAGAATCTGACGTCAATTAAATTACCTGGTATTTGTTGTAAATAATGGATCTGACTTCATTTTGAGGGTTCTTTGTATTTATTTATTACTTTCATGGACTATTTTCATTGTGTTATTAAGTGTAATATTTGACAAAATATTTTACGAATAATGTGTACACCTGCTTTTGTAGGAACCTTGGTTTCTCTATTTTTCAGAATTTTAAACAGATCTATATCAAAGTGTGAACAGAAAATGTGTTCAGCCTTGATGTTAAAAGTACAATGATATATTAACACTATCATATCTATTATGCAAAAATCCTATTCCAGGTGATAAGCCCACAAATGTCTATCAAACTTCTAGCAAAGATCTTCAAAGATACTTTTCAGGTTTCTTGCTATAAGCCCAACCCCTGCTTTGAGTTAAAGTTTCGTTATGGCTCTGTGAGCCCAGGCTTTGAGTCAAATTGTTGGCTCGATAGTCATATTAACAAACATGTAATTATACAGTACATTGTATCATGTACCAAAATACTCTTCAATTTTTCAATTTTATATTTGTGTATGTTGTAAATGAAAATCTGAAAATAAAATATTGTTTAAACCAATTAAT